CTTTTTGATTCGTGCAATTATCTCGGCTGGAATATCATCTCCCTCTCTCTCTGGATTTAGAGGAGTTTTTATTTTTTTTCTATTCTTTTATTTATTTATTAATTTTTTTTCTTTTAACATTTTGCAAGCTCGAGAGCTTTATTTTTTAAGGAATTCTTCCTTGACTCGTAAGCCACATGGGAGTTGTAGGTGGCGTTCTTTTTTTTGTACCTGTCGTTGATTTTTAGCGCTAAAGCCACGCGCGAAAAAGAGGCTTAACCGCTTAAAAACGAGCACTCGCTGCGCAGAAAAAAATTTCCATCAAAACGTGAGTCGGTCGTATTAATAACATAACCGCAGCGCGAGAACTGTTTAATCGAATATTTTTTCTTCGCCGCTTACAATATATCGAATCCCTGAAATAAGTTCGAGCTCGCGAGAGCTTTTTTTAAAAGGACGCTTTTGTGAAAGTCTAAATTCAGCACAAACTGCTCTGCTTTTTTTTCCTTCTTCTTCTTCTTCTTCCTCCTATACTCGCCCCGGCTTTTATTCGCTATCTCTTCGACCCTATATACACGGGCCTCGTTGCCGTGGCTGCTCGGTCCTTTCGCTCTTCGCCTTCTATTTCCCTCCTTTTTTTTTATTCTCCTCTTACCCTTCGACGCAGCAGTCGAAGCTGCTTTTCAACTGCGGTAGATTTAATCTGCGGTCTTCGCGTTATAATCAATCCGAGGATTTTCTTTCTCCCTCTCCCTCTCTCGACTCCCGTTTACGAGGCATCAAATTGTGTATATTATATATTATAAAAACGCGCCGCCAGTGTACAATCGATGAATGGATCAAATTTTCCCTTCATTCTCTAACGAGTGCCTCGAATATAAACGGTCGTTTCATTTTCGAGTTTTATTTTCTCCGCATTTTTTTTTCACCGCGAAAAATACCCTACCAATTTACGGGGAGAGGAATCTCATCGGTTCTGCTTTATCGAATTCGTTTTAACGATTGTCCCCCCGCCTCCTCCTCCCTGCCCTTGCTTAAAACTCAATATAAACTGTAACAAACAATTTTAATGACTTTTACACGTACCGAAAAAAACAAATAATAATAATAATAAAACATACATATCGCGTTCGTCAAATCGCATTACGACGAGCGTGCATATCGATGCAGATGAAAATTACGCCAAGGGGGGAGAGGAGAGGGGAATTATTTTTTCTCCCTCGACCAGTGGCAGTGTGTATAATATCAATTATTCGCGTATCAGTTTCTTCGTGTTCAGCAGCAGCCGCGTGCATGCAATCGACTCTTTCGTTTCCAACACACGTACACCACGGGCTACGTCGCACTACGTGTACGTGTAATAACTTCATTAGCATTTCGAAAATCTCGGCGTTAACGATCTATATTTTCTCGAGTGACTTCATAAATTTACATGAAGCCCCGCGAGCGACGAGAGAGAGAGAGAGAGAGAGACGAAGTGCACCGTACATGTATATAGATTGCGCCCGGCGCACCGCACGGCTATATATACTACGTCGTGTGTAATATTAACAGGCAGCAGTTGGCACGGTGGAGGAGAAGAAAGAGGAGGTCGGGGAAAATTTTCACCAGCAGCAGCAGCGGCAGCAGCTGCCAGCGCGCCAAGCGAGAGAAAACTTCGTTACATTCCGTCGAGGCCGGCCGTGTGGTATATATTTATAACACAGAGGATTTTTCGGAGGACTAAAACGATCGATTTCTTTTTTCTTCTTCTTTGGCTCTCTTTCTAGTCGTCCCTTCGGAAGATATAGCGATTAGTTACCGGAGAAAAGCCGAGAGAGAGAGAGAGAAACGAGAGACAATGTACAGCACTAGGAACTTATATAGAGCACAAAAAAAAACGAGAGAGAGAGAGAGGGAAAGATAGATAGATGGAAGATGAAGAGGGCTAAAAAACGAGTGTACGCGTGTATACGTATATACCGTGCCACCGGTGGAGCTACTCTTGAAAAATAAAACTCCAAGGTGGGGCGCGAAAGCTCCGATTTTTTTTTCTTTTTCTTTCTCTTTTGCTCCTTTTATATCTAGGCGACGTTCGAGAAGAGGATGCAAGTGTCGATGACCTTTTACCGATAGATATATAGACACACACACAACGGGTGAATTAGCTCGGAAACAAATCGAGTAACAAAACGTATCCAATTTTTACGACTTACGATCGATCGATGTCGTATTATTACGTGTAAGGTATACAGGTATATATAGATAAAATGAAAAAAAAAAAAAAAAGAAAGAAAATCGCGTCGCTGCTCTTTCGGGTCGTCTACCTCGGTGCAGTCGGCTCGGACTGTAAGCTCGAGCTTATCTATATATATACCTGTGTGTGAGCGTGTGTGTCTGGCTGCCTGAGCATTCGTGTGTGTTTGTGTGATATATATATAGAACTTATGATAGCCGATTCTACGGCCAGGGACGTGTGTGTCACATATGTATATATATCTAAAAGTACGTCGAGGCAACATCGGTGCGCACTTGACCCTCGCTTTATCTGAACTATGTTCTTATTCTTTCTCTCTCTCTCTCTCTCTTTCTATAACATCGCATGTCGCTGCTTTTGAGCCATTCGCAAGGCGAATCGCGACGTTTTTTTTCTCATTCTCTCTCTCTCTTTCTCTATCCCTCGGTCGTGAAGTTCAATCGCGACGCGGTGTATACACAAGGCTAATCATCTCGTCGTATTGTAAAACTGGCGGCATTCAGCTCGGGAAATGTACCGCGTTGACGATTTCGAGAGACGATCGAAACGTCGATTTTGTATCGTTGCGCGCGAATCGATAATAAGCAAAACACCGTTTGCTCACGCGAGTCGTTTGTTTTTCGCTCTACGTATCAATTATAAACGAAATTCGTCGTCGAAGCTATTATGTACGCGACCTAATTTACTTCTCGAGCTGTATATGTTTACGATAATAATTCTGCAATATTTAAGACGCACTCGATGCACGCGTAGGCGATACGCGTGTAACGTATCCCTGTCTCAAAGGGAATAAGTCAGTAGTACGCATGAATGTGTAACATATAATACGCGACGTAAATATTTCTCGGTAAGTACACGCACGTCCGTGCGCGCGCGAACCAACCCGAGAACGGAAAGCAAAAATAAAAAAAAGGGGAAAAGGAAAGGAAGGAAAAGTGTGTATTTATAAGGTGCATTAAAGGGGGTCAGTATTTGTGTTCGTTTAAATACTCGAGACGCGCGTGCGAGTACGTGGTATATGGTACACATATATATAGAGCGCCAGGCCTGCCACTTATTACCACGCTATATATATGTGCGCTCGAATAATACCGAAGGGAGCTAGAGCTATACCAGCCTCCCCCACGTGCTAAAACCATTTCGCTCTCGAATCCTCTCAGACTTTTTCTCTCTCTCTCTCTTTCTCTCTCGATAAGATCGGATGAATTTTCCATTTCTCGAGCACTGCTTTCTTTTCTCTCTCTCTCTCGCGCTCTTTTCTTTTGATAATAATAACGGCACTTTCGCGCGTACATATAGATTGTTTCATTTTCTCGAGGTGTGCGCAGTGTGGCAGCAGTAAGGAGCAGAGGTGTCATAATCGAATGAAATTATTATTATTATATAGACGATATTATCGCGCGGGTGGGTATATATAATTTGCGAGTTGCTGCCGCCGCGTGCCCGAGGAAGTCGAGGATTTTAATTGAATTTAATTTTGCCGACTTCATCATTGTGTATACCGTATAGATATATCAACGTGGAATATCGTTTTGCTGCCGCCGCGCGCCCCGTAGTTTGTCGACCGGAGGGAGGAGGGAGGAGGAGGATAAGGCAACGCGTGCAGCAACAGGCCTTAGATACGTATATATATAAAGTCGTTGCTGAATAATTATATCCGTCTTTCTCGCCAACCTACCCCGAATACCCCCCGCGTGTAGCAAGACGAGGCGCTGAGGAACGACCGCGACGACGATGATATTTCCCCCCGCCGCTCGCTTTCGAAGCTGGAGGAAGAATTTTTCCTTTTTTTTTTTTTTTAAGGATAGATATAAAAAATTGCGCTCACGAAAGAATTCGCATTATATTCGCGGCGCGTGGAAAACACCGCACCGTCGCGTCGCTCGCGCCCCTCGAGGAATCTTCTTATATGCATATAACGAGAAAAATACCGAAGCGTATACGGGGACGCGACCGTAGCCTAACCACCCCCCACATCCCCTTCTTCATTCGGATTGAATGGTTCCTGCGGCAGCAGCAGCAGCCACGCGAGAAGTGTGTAGCCATTTTACATGACGATGAATTCACGCTTTGATTTTTTTTCGCTCGTACACGTATTATATGTGTGACACTCGAACAGAGAGAGGCCCGGTTCTAAAATTTCTCTGGCATTTTCGTGAAAATGCGAGGCATCGCTGCGGGAATTTCTTCTTTCTTTCTTTTTTTTTTTTTTTTTTTTTTCATAGTCATCGTAAACTGGGTTGGGATTGAAGTGCAGCGGAAAGTTAAGCTGTGCGAGTGTGCAGTGCGCGCGGCTCGCAATTTTTTCTCTTAACATTTTTCTTCTTCTTTTTATTTCATCAAAACTCGGTCCGAACTATTTCTCGTTAAAGACGTTAAATAATTGATTGAATAAATTTTAACAGAAAGTAAGCGATACGATTTAGTGTACATTTGCAGATAACTCAAAAATAAAAATTTATAGACAGCTTTCATCGTGTCGTAGAAGAAAAACTATGATAATACATTAGCGAAGAGTTTCCTCTTGAAAATGTTGTTACTCCTATTTTTATGTACAAATACTAGTTGAATAGAACTGAGCTAAGAATTTTTTAAATCTATCAACTATTCTCAAGTAACTGGAAAATTTAAAGAATATACTTTTAAGAGTCGCGAGTGCCAAGCATGCGTCGCAGTATCATGGCTGTGTCTAGAAAGCCGATGGAATAGAGGGGGAAAATATCGCCAAGAAGCAATCACAATTGCGGGGTCCACTTACTCGCTAATATAGTAGTATTGCGTTCGGTCTCTAGCAAAGAGCTAAATTCCTGAAGTGATCGAGTGTTTACAAATAATATCAAGAGCACAGGTCTCTACTTTAAATCGAGGTACAGTGCTGGCAACTCGAGTCATTTAACCTCAAATATTTTCTTAGTGCATAACGTGAAAATTCCCTGTAAATACGTATTATCAAGCGAGCGATGGAAAGCAACGAGGACGTAATTAGGTAAAAGTAATTTTCGTTCATTCCATCATATCTTTTTATGCGATCGCTTCATCGAATTTGATCTTGATTCAGGGTAAAAGAAGAGACTAAAGATGTATGGCCAGATGCCGTCGACGAAGATATTTTCGATTCGGTGGACTCTTACGATGTCAAAAATTTTCAAACATTCTCGTTTCATGAACCATCAGTGAGTTGAATGATTCGACTTATGTCCTGTTTCTTCGCTATCAAAAGCTATAACACAATTTCAATTTTAGGCATATAACATGAGCGAGTCTATGCTGTTACAGAGAAAGTTAGATGAAGAAATATTTATAGATGATGAGTGCGAAGATGTTAAATATGAATTGAAATCATTGACAACTTTCTGCAAAACAGAGTATCAAAATTATCCACCATTTGTGAAAACAGAGAACGAAAATCAGCTCAATGAAATAAATAAAAATATATTCATTGATTTCGAGTGCAAAAATGTTAAACCTGAAATGAAGTTTAAATCCACAAGCATCTGTAAAACAGAGAATCAAAGTTGTCTACCTATTGTGAAAACAGAAAATCAAATTCAAAATAATTATTTGAATGAAGAAGATCAGGTACTTTTGATGCAAAACACATTCGATCATAATGATAGTCATTCTCAAGTAAATTCCCCAATGAAAGTGGCAGAATATGAGGTGGAAAAATTAAGCAAAACTTCTCAAACCAAACCCTCTTATAAGTGTAAAACGTGTCGAAAAACGTTTAAAATAAAAGTGAATCTAAAAAGACATATCAGCACGATACACAAAAGCACAGGACCAAAAGAATGTGAAATTTGTCATAAATCATTTGCTTACCAAAGCTACCTTAAACGTCACGTCAACGCAGTACATAATCGAAATAAACCCTTTGAATGTGATATTTGTCACAAATCATTTGGACAAAAAAAATACCTCAAAACTCATATAACTACTGTACATATTTGCAGCAAACCTTTTGAGTGTGACATTTGTCACAAATCATTTGGAGAAAAAAGTACACTCAAAAATCACAAAAACCTAGTACATGATCGAAACAAACCCTTTGAATGTAAAATTTGTCACAAATTATTTGGACGAAAAAGTGATCTAAAATCTCACGTCAATGCTGTACATGTTGGTAGAAAACCTTTTGAGTGTGACATTTGTCACAAATCATTCGCGAAAAAAAGTAACTTTAAAACACACATAAATGCAGTACATAATCGGAGCAAACCCTTCGAGTTTGTCACAAATCATTTGGATACCAAAATCGACTCAAAAGTCACATAATGAAGATGCATATTCGGAGCAAACTCTAGAAGCGTACGATTTGCCTGAAGAAATTTAGTCGAAATAAGATCTCTGCAATCGCATTAGAAAGCTCCGCAAATTTAGAAAATTTTTCTTTTATTTATCCTTAAAATTCGTAAAAAATAATAAATTATTTTAAGCTGTTATTTATTTTGTCGTCATTGTGAAAAAGCCTTTACACGCATTTCCTACATGATTCAAAATAAAAACAAAAGGTTCCTAACTTATTCTACTTTCAACTACTTCCTTACGCTATGCAAGTAGAAAATCCTTGGCTTGGAGCTAGAATTATTTCTTTACTTCACGCGTGGACCCCGCTACTTTTGCACACGCAGATCATTTCAACAGAATCAGTGGTCGATAAAAAAGCTTTTGAAGTTCGGCAATTTAGCTCATTCGCAAAGTTTATCGTGTATCCAATCATCGGAAGAAATTATTTCGTCTTAATCGCTGAACCTCGATCAATCACATTTGTCAGAAATTTAAACTAGTTTGTAATAATGTAAATCCAATTTTCCTGCGACAGCTGGTTTAAAAAATCGTTTTCGAGTGTTCGAGCTTTCTCTGGGAGAAAGCAAAACATTTTAAGCTCAATCAATTTGACGAAAAATCGGTGACACCTGTACAGCGCACCTATAATTTCTAACGCGTCATTTACTTTTTAATAAAAAAAAAAAGCTGAGTGGCACGCAATAAATGATTATACCTTCCGTGGAGCGTTTTAGCGCACGACAGAGTAACACAGCTGCCCCCTGTGCGCGCGGAGCCCTTCATAGAAAAAAAAAAATTTTTTTTTCTCCTCAGAACTAAAAGCTCTGTTGCGAAGTTAATGTAGATTACGACGAGCTGTCCTCGCAAATTGCATTTTCAATAGCTTTGTTGCTCGGGCAAAATTTCCACGTCGAGCGTCGTCGTCGTCGTCGTCTCTATCCGGCAAAATTTTTAGGGGTCGTTTCCTTAAATGTTCATTTACGACTCCTTAAAGTTTCATTTCGTCATTAAGACCTTGGGCTCGCGCGTGAAGCGGCGGGACGCGTATAGCGTATATACACGTTAACGAATCGAGAAGTTGAAAATGATTGCTGTAACAAATTGAACGAAATTTAATTGCAAAAGAAGAAAGTAAATAAATAAATGCAACGAGTGAAAAAAAAGGAGGTAAACGCGGCTCGTTTTAACTTTGAATATCTTGATATCCTCATCTTTCCGCGCGATTCGTATAAATCTAGTAGATGAAGATCGCGGACGACGCGAGGGAGAGAGAGGTCGTAAATAAATATTTTTCTCGTTTGAAGATTCATTCCACGACTTTCTCAAAGTATTTCTCTCTTCCTTTCTTCTTTCTTCGTCGTCGTCTCCGCACTTACAGCTCTCTTTCCCTCCTTCCCTCTACGCTTGGCGACTGATAAGATGAAATTTTATGCAAGCTTCATCAGTCCCGCGAGAAAAAGTCCGCGAAATAGCTGCTCCGCAGCTCTTAAAAAATATATACAAACTTTGCAGTTTGTACTATCCGTAAACGCGACTCGAAAGCATCGCGGAGTAGTAAAAAAAAAAGGACAGAGAAAGAGAAACATCCCGGACTAAAAGAGAGACAGAGAAAGAGAGAGAGAGAGGAAAAAAAAAAGTTATAAGCGCGCCTATTGATCCTGCGCCGAGAGCAGAGACTATATAGCGCGGCGGCGGCGGCGGTTGGTGGCGGTCGGTGGCGCCCAAGCACCCGGCCGGTCCGAAAGTCGCGCAGCTTCGAGCTAAAGTTCGAGGCTTCGAGCCGAAGATAGAAAGCCTGGCGAATGCCTCTACGTGCGCACATACATTTACTTCTAACCTTTTGCCACTACCATCACCACCACCGCAATACGCACACCCCCTGCCTAGCAGTCGTTACTCATACTTACGCTCATTAGAGATACACGTAGGCTTTTAACCATTAAAACTTGCGCCCGAGTATTCCGATAAAATATGAAATTTTAACGCGTAAATATACTACTGCACGAGCTAGCGAGGTAGAGGGAGAGAGAAGTGAAGTCGAGCGTTTTATCTCGCGGCCGGTCGAGATGCAGAGGCAGAGAGCTAAAAAAAAAAGCGCAATTGCCAGAGTGCGCAAAGAAATTAGGCGCATGTTTATTTCTTTTGATGCGGAAAAATTTCGGGGCTTTTTTTTTGCCCCCGCTGATGTATATATATATATGTGTATACTCGCCCGCAAAAAAATGAAAAATAAAAGTAAAAATTCAGCGCAACTGCAGCGAAAAACACTGTGCGCTCCGCAGAGTGTGTACCAAATGCGCGTGTACGTGTGCAGTTGTAGTATCGCTGCTGTGTATACTATATACCTTATATTACGCGGGCCGCGCGCGCTCATGATTAATTAATGCACGTCGAGCTCTCTCTCTCGACTTTGGGCGGCAGCAGCAACGCAGCTACGAGCGCGCGAGCTATGTAACGATTCGCGACGCTAATGGTTACCAGGGGCTACTAATGGTCCTGTGAACACACACACACACACACACACACAAATACATACAGAGCTCGCAGCGTCATCGTTATCGGTCCTTCTCCAAGCCTCTCTCTCTCTCTCTCTCTGCTCATAGATACAGTTATATATTGTTACAGACGTTATGCAGTATATATAGCGCTGCTGCATTACCCGTACTCGATTTCGTAGCTCCTTTTTTATTTTTACTTTTGTTAATATAACGCTCGATAATGACGATGATTATTGGGCACGAAATCGCGTGCACGGAGAAACAATTTGTTCTTTTCTTTTTTACGTACGCAGTTCTCGTGCGTACACTGAAAAAAGAAAATTCATTGATTCTATGAAATATTTAATTAAATACAATTTATGAAATAATTTCATTGAAATAATCTTCTTTTTATTTCATCCAACAAAATATTTAATTGTTTTTTACCAAAGTTTCATTGCCTCAATCGATCTTTTGAATAAATTAATAGTAAATAAAATATTAAATTATATTTCATCGAATCAATGAATTTTTTTTCTCAGTATACGTAATAGTGTCAAGAAATTACACGTGTATAGCGTCGCGTTGATCTGTCTCTTTGGCGCTCGCTTGGCTTAGCTCGCGCAAGTTGCTCGTTCGAACGACAATTATTATTGTAAGATCGCGCGCATGTTTACACGTATATAGATCATTGTGTATCGTATAATTAACGATAAACGCTACGACACGACCGATTAGTCGCCAGAAAGATCGTGTCGATCGCAGCAAGTGAGTCTCGTGAGAAGTAAAAAGAATATTGAAACTATAATAATAATAATAATGATGTGCAAGTCCGACGACAACGGCGCAGATCGCCTCGAGGAGTCTGCCTCGAGTTTAAAAAAGTTAAAGATCTTGCGCGATAAGACGAATTTCACGATCGAGGAAGATCGACGCAAATTTATCCCGGAATTTTATTCCTTAATCAGATTTTGGGAGGGCCGACTTCCAAATTTCCGGCACTTTTTTAGCGATGCCGAGATGAATACTTTTCTTACGGAATGTCTAACTCACACGAGCCGAGGTTGGAATACTTTTAAAAGAGAAAAAATCATTCGGTTCGTGATTCGCAGCGGCTACAAGGACGAGCCCACGGTCGATAAAGATGGCAAGCCATTGCTGCAGCGTCGCACGGTAATTATATGCGCGGCGGACAAACCGTTTCAGATCCAACCTGCCACGATCCGTGAACTTTTTAAGATCTACGACAGGTTCGACGTTAACTACGAGTACGAATTCTATTCGCATTTTCACGTGGCCTGTAAGTGCAACTTTATCGACGTCGTTGAAAAATTTCTCGAGCTCGGACAGGACGTCAATCACATCGCGCAAGGTTATTCAGCACTGCACGTGGCTCTGGATTCCAAAAGTAGAGAAGTGGTCGAATTGCTGCTAAGGAACGGCGCGGATCCGAATCTGGCTACGAGGAACGATCGTGGATCGACTTCTCTGCACGTTATTTGCGAGAGCTTCGGTGACGATTGCATAATGGAGCTATTCTTCGAGATCTGCGACGAGACGCATCAAAAAGTGCCGGTCGACGCGAGGAACAATTTGGGCCGGACACCGCTGCAATTGGCCGTGGCAAATATCAAGCCGAACGCAGTCGCTGTACTCTTTGATCGCGGCGCTGATCTGTCCAGCTTTGTGTTTCCCGATGATATCGACACTATGGAGGCGTTCACACCTTCGCGCGAAGAATCGTGTTTTCGTTTTAAAATTAGACTAGCGTTCTCCCTTCTGGCCCTCGTCGAGTGCCTGAAAAAAGGAGGATACGAGCTGTATCGAAGCGATGCCCTTAAGATCGTGTCGTTGTACGACAAGTACAAAGTGTTCGAGAAGTCGGCGAATTTCAAAAGATGTTGGTACGAGGACGAGGATTTCGCGACGGAGGTGAAGAAGGAAATAATCGGTCCAAAGCTGCAGCTGCACGAGCTGCTCTGGAAAGACCGCGAAAAGGGTAACGAACTAATAAGAAAATTATTATTATTCAAGAGGAAAAAACGCGATAATAGCCGCTTCTTACTGCGTGTGAAGGCTCGTGGCGTGCAACTGTGCGAGATAATTTCGAGAAAATTTATCCTGCACTGGGCACTGGATTGTTTCTACGAGCTGATTCACTGCCGACTGCCGCTTCTCTGCTGTGACATGATTATCGAAAATCTGGGGAACCAAGATTTATTGAACATTTGCTTGGCGACTGCAATTGGTAATGACACAACAACAACCGCGAGTGCTGAAACAACTCCAGAAATTGTAAAAACTGCGTAACATGTAATTCGAATAGATAGTGATTATCATATTTGCAGTGTTTCTTAGTATATCAGGCGTTACTAAAGTATGCAAATTTTTCATGTCATTGAAAGTAATTTGAATAAACTAATTAACTTAGTTTTTAATTTTTCGTTTCAATTTTATTTCATTTTAATCTACGAAAAATCAATTCTTTTTATCAATAATTTTTAAGTATCTGAAGATTCATCACTGGTTGAAAAAGTGGTGAATTTTAAAAATGTTACCTTCAGCACTAATGGCTCTCAAAAATGCGCTTTATTGTATAAAACAATACGTAAATTTCGCGCGAAT